AAATCATGATTATTTTTAAGATTATGATGATCACTTACTGAGTAGCCAAACTCATCAAACTATGGTAAACATTTTTCAGGATAACTACGGATTCATTTTGAGTGCTAGTCAATATCAACCTTGAAAGATACTGTTGTTGTGCTAGCTTTCTTTACTTACTATGTAAGACCTCGCCACTGTAAATTTGTCCTATCAATTGATGTATATATGTTTTGTCCGTCACATCTCAGGAATAATAGTATTGTAAATTCTTGGGGTGTGACAGTGACGGTCCTAGGCCACGGGCTTATTAAGCCAATCAAGGCATGGCCAGTCCTCTAGGCTCCAAGGCCGGACTTGGGCCAGCCCAAGCCACATCCATTGCCACCCTTATTATTTTTGACACACCCAAGATTTTGGAGTCCACATCTAAAGTTATGTATGATTATAATTCCTTGTAAAAAGATAAATAATCTCATAACATATGATCCCATAAAAATAATTAAAAATGTACTTAATGTCATGTAGAAAATTCCACATTTTTATTTTTTTTTGGTAATTCAACGAGGAAGACAAGCTCCCACCTATTTTTTCAAGTAGATTAGGAGTTAGCTTTTAGAAAGTATTAGTGGGAAATGTTAGTGGTGGGAAGGAAAAGAACAATGTGGTGACTAAGGTATAGGGTGTTACCACCATGACCTTAAACCCTTTTTCATATTTTTTCTTCTTTAAATAATAAATGGACATGTCATGTTTGAGAGATCAATTTTGATATTGGTATAATACATCTGACCCTGCCAAGTCCTGACATGTATAAACATGTTTGCAATATATATTACCTTTTGAACCTAAAAAATATTATGCAAACAATTGAAGAAGAAAGAAAATCGAAAAGCAAACAGTGAAATTCTGCAATACCTTCTTCTATAAAGGTATCATCTCTATAAACTCCAAATAAATTAATTGAAGAAAAATACTGACAATTTCATTGTTACTATGAATACTACACTCGCCAAATGAAAATATGTGCAATGATTCAGCCCAAAGTTTATACACATCCATAACTTAATTGGAAAAGTTTATATAAGGTTGCAACTTTAAAATGTAGAATTACAAATGCATCTCAAAAATCCATAAAAAAATGTTGTTTTAATGTTGAGAAACCCTCTAATTGATCATCTCGATATCGAAATGTATGAATATGAAAAAAATTATATATATTTTGAGTCTTAGAAATAGTACGTCTTGCAACACATTATCTAGACTGTCTACTTTCAAGATTTTCATATATTTATAGATCTATTAGATTTTAACTATTTTTTTGAGTTTAAAATTTTATAATTAGATATGAAAATAGATTTTTAGATAATCTTAAGAATTGTTTACACCAAAATAACATAT